CTCTCTCTCTCTCTCTCTCTCTCTCTCGCGCTCTCTCTCTCTCTCTCTCGCGCTCTCTCTCTCTCTCTCTCTCTCTCTCTCTCTCTCTCTCTCTCTCTCTCTCTCTCTCTCTCTCTCTCTCTCTCTCTCTCTCTCTCTCTCTCTCTCTCTCTCTCTCTCTCTCTCTCTCTCTCTCTCTCTCTCTCTCTCTCTCTCTCTCTCTCTCTCGCGCTCTCTCTCTCTCTCCCAGAGCTCAACCACTGCAAACACACAAAACACACACATGCTCGTGCACACTAATTGGACACACACCCAGGTCCAATGCGGCCTTGTGAGGCCTTTGGGTGCTTGTCGCAGTCATGTCTCTTTCTCGCTTTGAGACCTGTGGTGCTCCCACCTACCTGATAAGTCTCTGTGGGTTGTTAGCTTCAGGAAGCCGGCAGGCGCCCCACAGAAAACCAGCATTACCTGTAATGAAACGCCAACTTCTGGGTGAGCTCCAGAGGCTCCCTGACTCCCTCCTTTCCTTAAGCTGGTGGCATTCATCATTCCAGAACTGAATTGGCTGGCTCCCCAACCCACGTCAAGGGGTGAGGTAGTGCTAGTGAATGGGGGGGCTACTTCGATGTCATGTTAATTGGTATTGATTGTTTTCTTTTTGGTGGGAGTTCTTTTGCTATTTTGAGGCCATAACTCGTAGTTTTCAAGCTGACAGTGGTCTGTTTTGGTTCTCCTACCTTTCTAGGTGCCGTCACCAGTAGATGGCAAAATATGACATACTTTAAATGCTCATAGGCCATTGCTCTCTGCACCTATCTGTGTGGGCCAGGTTCTGGCTCTGGTTCCTAGTAGGCAACAAGAACTCTGTGACTAATGACCCCAACTAATATAGCACTATATCAGTATGGATAGCTTCAGGGAGCCTCCAGAGCTCACCCAGAAACTGGCACTTCATGAAAAAAAACACTTCAGAAACTGGACAACAATGCATGTATGAATGGAGCTGATTATTTTATGAGATATAGGCATTTATCTTAAAACTCTATCAGGAAACATTTATTTTGACAAAGTATTTAACTTCGCTGTCTTCATTCTTTTTGGTGCTTGCTAACTGCATGGTGGCTGGGATTCCTAAATGCATGACTATTGCCACATACTCATCATCAGTAACCAAGCCACCCTAGATGGTCAGCTGGACATGCAGGATGGTTCATACCACAACAAAAATGGTCATCCTGCATTGTGGAATGAGAATAAACCAAGAAATATATGTCAAGAATTGGAGTAAGAAATTTATTTTATTATAACTGTATTAGTTTTAAATATAAAATGCTGTTACATAATATATACCTAAAGAACTTTGGCAGACAATTAGTAAATTACCTTTTCTGTGGGGAGCCCCGTCGGCTCCCTGGAGTTGTCCAGGCTGATATGAATGTATTAAACCCTGGCATCAGTCAAAGCACATGGAGTTCTAGGCTTTCCGGGGACCAATGAGCCAGAACCTGGTGCCCCTCAGAGAGGCATGAGTAGTGGCCTATAGACCCCCTCCCCCCTCTCCCCGTGTGGTTGGAAGCCTTTAATGTCTGCCATCGATCAAGTCAGGCACCCTGAAAGGTAAGCGCCCCAAAGTAAACCCCTATTCTAGTTAAAATATTGCTACTGAAAGCCGAACTAGTAGACAGAACTCCCTAAATGAAAACAAGCAAACGAGCATGACGTCACCGCACCGCTGTCTGCGCAACCCCCTTTTCTTTATTTTTTCCTGGGAGGGGGAAGGGGAGCCCTAGACCCCTGTGCTGTATCCACACCCCAGTTCTATGACTGATGTGATCTGGCAAGGTCGTGTGCCTCTAGCTCCTGTGTTTTCCAGTTCTGTGCCTTGTGGTGTGATCCTGTCTACTAGGAAATTGAAATTGAAATAAGTTTATTGAGGTAAAATACACACAAAGGGATGAGGTAGCTCAAGCTATTCTCACCCCATTCAGTACAACGTGTTAATACATACATAGACACACATCACAAATAAACATATTAAGAGTCTACTAGGTGGTGCGCGAGCCAGGAGTAATCTCACAAGTACTCGGGCTGCATGCGCCTAGGGTGCATGCTGGTTGATCAGTCCAGCAACCAGGAGGCCTGGTCGACGACCGGGCTGCGGGGACGCTAAGCCCCGGAAGCACCTCAAGGTAATCAAGGTAAGGTAGGGTCCCCTTCCCTACGTGCCCTGTAAGTACTGCCCTTGGAGCTTGGGGCCACCTTCCCCAAGTCATCTTGAGGTCTACCTCCGCAACATCTTTTGCTGCTCGGTGATTGACCGCCCTTGGAGTCGGCTGTAGTGTTTCATGCACCATTTTTTGCCTCTGGGTAGGGGGTTAGTTTCGTCACTGATTGGGACACAGAGTACTGCGCAGCTAGTTTTCACCTTGCATAGTGGCCAGCTCTATTCCACCTGGGCACGTTGTCCTCTTGCAGGGTTTTTCTTTTGATTTTGTTTTCCTACCTGGTAGGGGGTCTGCCCCTTAGTTTTGGTCAAACCCAGTTATATCTTGGTGGTCCTCTGCTAGGCCTGGGGAGGATACACTTCCTGGGGGGTTCAGCTTTAGCAGTTTGATTGGTAATTTTGGGTGCCAGTTAGCAGTACTCGTCCTTGGCTTCCCTTACCGAGGTAACGCGACTAAGGGGCCCCTGGGAATCCCCGCTGGGGCGCTTTGGTGTCTGATGGATGCGACCCTTGGGTCCCCTCTTGCTTCATGCACATTTTAAGGTTGCTCTGTTGCCTTGTCTCAGGGTGACAAGCATTGGTTGTGTCTCCGCCATGCTGCCTGTTGTGACACCATCGACCCGGAGTCCTGCGAGTTGTTCCTCGTTTGTACAGTGAGGCCTCGACTTACAATCTGTTCTTACAATTTGGTAATCTGTTCCCAGAGACGGATCATAAGGCGAAGTGATTTTTCCCATAAGAAATAAAGGGAATTGAATTAATCTGTTCCCCACCCTCTAAAATATTAACTTACAAGTATATTTTATACTGAATACAATTTTGTTCTCTAACTTCAATACAGTACATATGTTTATCTTACCTTTATGGAGAACTCTTGATGGAATATGGAAGATGGTGATGAGGGAGAAAGGTGGAGAGGTGTTACTGTTTGGAAGGGGAGTATCCTTCCATTATAACATCAGGCAGTGATGACTTTTCTGGGATACTCTCTCTGGCATGTTTTGCCTGCATACCACGAGGACCTGCTTGTGGCTCACTGCTTTCTTGTATGTCTAAAAATCTGTTTAAGAATCCGTCTAAAAACACTTGTTTTTTCCCTACATTTTAACACTTGTCTGTAGTGAGACATCACATTGTCATTTAAAAGGTCAATGCAACAGCCTGTTACAGCTGTATCTGGGTAAGTTTTTCAACAAAACTTTGCAGTTCTTCCCATACTTTACACATTTTCTTAATGAGGAAGGGATATCCTCTACTGCCTCAACTCACAATTATTTTCATAGGTTGAACCCTACCACTGACTTTCTGTAACCCATGGCATGTTATATAATAATCAGTTTTATGTTCAAAAAGCAAAAAATCACCACAAAAACAAAATTTCTTATAGGTGTGATTGTCACTAAGCGGGCAGCTCTAGTAAACTGAGGTAGGTTGGCCCGCGTGACCGAGAACCACGCGCTCGGTCGACCCAAACGTGTACCAACAAAAATCGTTAGTCGACGACACTATTGTAAGTCAAATCGCATTTTTCAATCAAATTTACATCGTAACTCAAAATTATCGTAAATCGGGGCAATCGTATTTCGAGGTGCCACTGTACTCCAATACACCCAGGCTACTGATGATATTAGGGTGCAGGCAGCTTCGGCGTTGCATGCTTGGTTTAGGTTACTGCAGTGCGCTAGGGTGGTTACTACCCCGGATTCCCCGAGAGGATGTCGCTTTGGAGGGTTCGGGTTGCTCGCAAATCGATAATCCAGCTCCATTTGGATTGCTTGCTAGTGGTTCATTGTCTGAATCGTGGGGGTTCGATGCAGTCCTTGGGTCTTTGGGGCTGGTCTCTTTAACCACTGAACTGCACCAACCGAGTATTCTCGGTCGGTGGGAAACTGCGCCAACCGAGAAAACTCTGATTTTTTCGTACACATTCCAAATATGTGCAAGGTTGGTTGTGTACGAAATGAACTCTTAGGACCTCCAGTGAGAGGCAGCCATCTTGGAAAAAATTCCCAGAATGCCCTAGGGCTGCTGGCTGGGTTAGTACTGAGTGAGCAACCATGGGTGGCGCACGCGCCTCTGGCTCCCAAACACCTGTCCGACGCGGTGTTGAAAGATCGCGCTCTGTCGGTGAAATTCAAACCTTATTGTTTGAAGAACATAAGGGTCATAATATTGGTGAAGCTAGGCACAATAAGGACCTAACACAAAGGTCGGATGCAAGTGATACAGCACCTATGAGGACGATACAGCGAGCGTATCCAGTTGTAGCTCTGAGCGCCACCCTTGCCCACCTATGCTATCTCCAATTTATTTAGATGATACATAGATGAATCGTTTTCTGCGTTCAGTGATGATGCATCTGATACAAGTAGCATAGATGAACAGTGTTAGCGGCTTCCATGGTGGTGTTTTCCATAGATATTTTCAAGAATAGCTGAATCTCTTCTTGACTGACGGACACTCTTTGAGGCTGGCTGAATCTCTTCCTGTGTGGGACCTTACAAAGCGATCTTTTCACGACTACCTTACAAATTGATCTTTTCCTATAATCTTTTCAAGACTACCTTACGTTTTACAAGCTTGGCTACATACCACCTACAGGTACTAATGCCAAGGGTGTACGTGAGTGCGTTATTTGCAAGCACACAGAACGAAGAAACAGGAAGCGAAAATCTATCTGTACCTGGTGCAACGAGAGCGAAGTCGCGCTGTGTACCATGGACTACTTCGTTGATTATTACTCACTTCCGAAGTACTGAGTGTGTAATATAGTGTGTTACTGTGTAAATAGTGTGTGAAACTGTACATATTGTAATTTTAGTGAATTTTTAACAAGTAATATTGCGACAATAAACATTTATTGTGGACACATTACTGACACATGTATCACAGTTCCATGGAACATTATGAACGTTCTACTGTATACATATTGTAAAGGACACAAATATGCATCATATACGATAAAAAAAAAAATAAAACCGCATTGGAAATACATAGAACAAATAATTGAAAATATATTTGTGGCAACACCCGGTGCTTGAATGGCCCGCGCGACCGTGTCTGGGCGTGTCACGCACGGGCGACCAGGCCCTGATGACGTCACAGCGCACCTTGTCCACGTCCCCACAGCCAAAGTAAGTGGAATTTGGTATTTATTTTTACATAGACATGTTCAGGGAAGGGAATTTATCATTTTACAAAGAAAAAGATTTTTCTTGGAACACTTGATTTCATGCGCACAGGGGGAATGTCACAATAAACTCGGCGCATCACAGTGGTACTGTACAACTAAGCTGATATAGTTAGTTCAGGCACTAAGAGACATCGTTACACACACAGTCAGCTGGCAGCTGCCTCCCTCACTCATTCAAGGTCAGGAGCACTAAAATTTCTCCCCCAACAATACTATTTGTAGTGTTATTGCACTATATACACACGTATGCACCATAACTGTACACCTAAGCTTGTAGAGTGCCCAAAGAGCATAGTGGCCACCTTCTACACAGCTAGACAAGTCATGCAGACGACGCCACCTCTCGTCACCCAAATGGCTCCTCCCAACATAATCCGTTTGCTGTCATTACACTAATACACACTTTATATATAAGTATCTACATTTGGGTTCACCATAGAGAACCACTGAGCTAGTATGGTGAATGAAGACAATAACAGGTGGCCACACAGTCAGTAATCTCTCTCCCTCCCTCAGCATTACTCCTCCCACACAGTGCTAATTATCACAACAATCCTGCTATTATCACAATCCTGGTCAATTTTATCACAGTCAGGGGTCATCTGTAATACTGTCATCGCTAAATAATAGCAGTTACATATTTATTTTGACTTTTTTAGGCGATGCTGTGGTCACAAGCTGAACAGCAATGCTGTTAGCTCATGCTGCATGTGCCAGTCTTGATTGCTCCCACAGTACTGTGGCTCTCACACCAGAGAATATTGCTCACTAATTTATTTTTAAACATGGCGTCTGTTTACAAGAGCCTTGAGGAAGCTGTTGTGAACCCCGTGTTGCCACGAGCCATTTGAATTGTGCTTGGCACCC